AAAAAAAAAAAAAAAAAAAAAAAAAAAAAAAAAAAAAAAAAAAAAAAAAAAAAAAAAAAAAAAAAACTCTTCCTTCCAAATCACAAATCCTATTAATAATGACCTTATCTTTACAAATCACCTGAAATCACAGTTCTTATGACAGTTTTGAAAACAAAAACAAATAGAAAATCTCCAAAACTTAGTATTGTTTTAAACAATAAACGTTCGGCTATCACAGTACAAAATGGATAGCTGGGATGTTAGTAATATGTCCAGCTACCAAGTGACTGTGGTATCCTATCCTGCCAGAATTCAGCTTCAGTGTTCAGTATATACTCAGTTTGTCCACAAGAACTGAAGAACAAAGTGCTTGGCAAAGCTATTGAATCTTACATCCATGGCAAGGTAAGTGAAAAAGAATACTAACTGTTAGTCAATCTTTATGTTCAGGGAGATACATTACAAATTCTGTAGTATGAAGAGAAGGGAAGCAGCTTTCACAATATTCACCTTGAAGAAAATGGGGCAGAGAACGATATGTCCCAAAACTTGGCTCATTCTTTCTATTTACTGCCCCGAAAAGCGGATAGCGAAAAGAAAGACCTGCCTACTGCCACGAGTATAAAGAAAAATGGTTAAAATCCTTGTTTTCATAGATGTGCCAAAAGGAAAAACAAGAACAGAGATTGGGAAAATGTAAATCATACATGTCTCTAACCTTTAGTTGAAGAAACTGCAGCATGATCATGGCTTTCTTGAAACTTGGAACTAAAATTCTGTGCACCATATGTACCTGCATATTTATGACATGCAAGTTGAGTGTGAGATCTCATGTCAATTGGGGAGGAGAACAAAGAATTCTTTATAAGGGAGTAGAAACCTCTCCCTAGCGGATGCGTTTTAAAACCCATGGGGAGGCCCGGAAGGAAAAGCTCAAAGAGGACAATATCTGCTAGCGGTGGGCTTGGGTTGTTGTTACAAATGGTATCAAAACCAGACACAGGACAATGTACCAGCGAGAAGGCTGAGCCCCGAAGGGGGGTGGACACGAGGCGGTGTGCCAGCAAGGATGCTGGGCCCCGAAGGGGATTGGAGAGGAGAACAAAGCATTCTTTATAAGGGTGTGGAAACCTCTCCCTAGCGGACGCATTTTTAAACCTTGAGGGGAAGCCCGGGAGGGAAAGCTCAAAAAGGACAATATCTGCTAGCGGTGGGCTTGAACGGTTACATTGAGAATATTTATAGAAGAGATTAACACATCCTAATCGATTCGTTCGAATTCCTACATTATCATTTTCTTCTAATTCATATTAG